CGCGAGGGCTGCTTTTAGATCAGGGATGCTCTGACCCCGCGCCCCAATGCGCTGGTTTCATCGAGGGGGGCCTCTGTCTTGCTGAAAGCGCCCCGCCCCCTGCTACGGGGCCCGGGCGGCGAACCCGGGCTCCCGCGCGTCTCCCGTGACCCGCACCCTGGCCTCTGAGGAAAGCCCCGCAGGAGGAGCGACAGCTCCGCGGGGTGACTGGAAGGCCCGTCTCCAGACGGGGACCCCATCTCATCCGGAGTCCCCACCCTGCGGGGAGGGAGGGGAAGCCCGACCACGTGGAGTTGAGGGCGCTGCTTTGTTCTCGGGCCGGAGACTTGCCCGACCCTCTCCCAGCCACCGTCTGGCAAGAGTGAGCGGCAGGTGCCACGGAGGAAGCCTCCCGGGAGAGGGGCTTGCATGCATTCCATGAGCTGCAGCTGCAGGCCCGGGCGGCGGTTCCAGCGCCCCCGAGGCCCCGATGCCTCCCAGGCGCTTCGGACCCGCTTCCGGCTTGGAGGACCTCGTGGCCTGTCCCCCGGCCAGTGGCCAGAGCGTGGGCAAACATGGAGGCTGAGGGGTACTCACGTCTGGCGGCGTCGAGGGGCAGTCTTGCAGCCAGAACCAGAAATCCCAGGAAACAGCAGAGCCAGCCCATGCTGACTTCTCACGGACCAGGCACTCGAGTTTCACTTCCAGCTCCTCTGGCCCCGTCCACCAAGAGCAACCGTGTTCCTCTGGGCTCCGCTGCGCCCCGCTCTTTATTTTAATTAAATACAGGGCCTCGGGGCGGATCATGTGATGGCATTAAGCGGCATTGCCTGATCTGGTCTCTCGAGTTCACCCTCTTACAACTCATGTGCTTATGACTCACTCCCCCTTGGCATCTATTTATTCACTTTTCAGATGCACACAGTTTCAATTTTGTGATTCCCCATGTTTAGTTTTAAAGAGACTTCCTTTCCTTTGAAGAGACTCAATATATATATTGAGTCCAGGTCTCACTCTGTCACTCAGGCTGGTGGGCAGTGACACGATCACAGCTCACCACAGCCTCCAACTCCTAGGCTCTGGCAATCCTCCTGTCTCAGCTTCCCAAACAGCTGGGGCTAGAGGTGTGCGTGGTCACACCCAGCTATTTTATTTTTATTTTTTATTTTGTTGTTGATGTTTGTTTTTGTAGAGACAAGGTCTCACTATGTTGCCGGGCTTAAGCCATCTTGAACTGCCGGGCTTAAGCCATCTTCCCGCCTTGGTCTTTCAAATTGCTGGGATTACAGGCACAAGGCACCATGCCTGGCCTATCTTAATATTCCTTACCAAATAAAATTCCAGCTCTTCAGCCTCAATGATTATCAGCTTGCTGTGGCTCCTATAATGCTTCATGCACACAGCTCATGTTCCAGTGTCACAGTTATGTATCTTGTTCTATGATGGAGTCGTCCAGCCTTCCCACAGTTAACGAATGCGTGTACGTCGTCTTCTTTCAAGAGGACACAGAGACCGGGAGGCTTCTCTTCAATCGTCTGGAATTGTGACATTCATATGTAGATAACAGCATGTATGTGGTGCCAGAATGTGCTGGAAACAGCTGCCCGGGCCTCTGGTTGCTGAGAAATACGCTCAAAAGCCCATTAAGGATATCTGTGCAATTCCATATAACTTTCTGAGCCACTTGCATCATTTTGGTAACTGCTCTCGAAGTTATGTGTTTATCACTCAAGGCCAATTGTGTAACACATCCTTCGTATTGTTTTGTATAGAAAGTGACATTGAAAACGAGTGAAAAAACAAAAACAAGCAAAGAAGTGACATTGCACATAAAAATAAATCTATACACACAAATCTATACAGTCAAATCATTTGTGGTTGCAGAATATGTGGTAACATGAACACTTTACCACATGTGGTCTTTCTGGAAGGCACAGCCACACAATCAGTGCATTAGAAATCCTGGTGGGGGGTGAGGGTAAGATTTGAGGTATTGATTTAGGGTTTAGTCATGTTAAGGAGACATGGAAATAGTCTGTGAAACCAACATCCATAGAACAGGAGTGGTCGTCTTCCCTCCCTAAGGACACACACACACTCTAGAACTCCTTTTTATGGGCTTTGAAGCAAATATGAAGGGGAAAACCCTGAAGGGAACACATTACTTCATTAATGTTGAAACAAAACAGGTTTCAAATATACATGAATAAAGGAAGAATGGAAATATTTACTAGTCTTATATAATGCAAAGTGAAGCATCTACATAGTTCTGTTTACTTTCTGCAACAAACATATAACTTTTACAATAAAAAACTTTTTAATTTAGGGAAAACTTACTATTAGTATTTTTAAAAGTGTTGTTGTGGGCCAGGTGGGCGCAGTGGCTCACGCCTATAATCCCAGCACTTTGGGAGGCCGAGGTGAGAGGATTGCCTGAGCCCACGGGTTTGAGACCAGCCTGGGCAACATGGTGAGACCTCATCTCCACTATAAAAAAAATTAAAAAATTAGCCAGGCTCGGTGGCTCAGCCTGTAATCCCGCGCCCTTGGGAGGTTGAGGTGAGTGGATTGCCTGAGCCCGCGTGTTTGAGACCTGCCTGGGTAGGCGAGACCTCATCTCTACAATAAATCAAAAAATGAGCCAGGCGTGGTAGCGCGTGCCTGTAATTCCGGCTACTTGGAAGGCGGAGGCGGAAGGATCGCCGGAGCCCAGCAGGTCGAAGCTGCGGTGGCCGGGAGTGGCCACTGCACTCTAGTCTGGGCGACTGAGTGAGACTCCAACTCTAAAAAAAAAAAAATTAGCCAGACGTGGTAGCATGCATCTGTAGTTCTGGCTACTTGGAAGACTGAGATGGAGGGATTGCCAGAGCCCAGCAGGTCGATGCTGGGTGACCGTGAGCATGCTACTGCGCTCTAGCCTGGGCAACAGAATAAGACTCCCACTCAAAAAAAAAAAAAAAAAAAAAAATTACCCATGCGTGGTGGTGCACACCTGTAGTTTCAGCTACTTGGAAGACTGAGGTGGAAGGATTGCTTGAGCCCAGCAGGTGGAGGCTGCAGTGGCCATGATTATCCACTGTACTCCAGCCTGGGCAACAGAGTGATGCTCCAACTCAAAAAGAAAAGAAAAGAAAAGAAAAAAAGGTGTTGCCCTTTGTGCGGACACAATTCTGGCTCATTTCTGGCCAGATTGGCCATGACTTTCTCTAAATAAATTGGAAGTTTCAAACTCTTTTGTTAGGGAGACACAGTGATCAAATAATTTCTTATGTCTTCTCTCTGTCCCTGCTCCACCAGGAAGAGGGGACAATGACTAGGATCATAGTCAAAAGGTAGGCACTGGATGGAGATGAACAAGAAACTGAAAGAATAGACTTGAGTTCAAAGAACTACAAGTTGGATAATCTGTCTCTCGATAACCAATGGTCGACAATATATAAGATAAGTGACTCTGTGTAGGAGCTGGAGACAGGGCCATTTGGATAAGGAATATTCTTGAACCTCTTTTTTTTTTTTAAATGCAATCATACTGTGGAAAGAGTTTGAAACAACTCATTGAAAGAAGGGAAACATTCAGTTATTTGGTATTACAGACACGATTCTTCTATCTGGAAATGATACCTAGAGCAAGTGACAGTCAACTTTTGAGAAATGTTCCACGTTGCCTCCAAGTGTCTTGATTTCCAACACCCCTCCTGGTGGCCATAATCAGGACCTGAGGAGCAGTACCTGGGCTGTGATGACTGCAGCAGCCACCCGAAGGGGGATATGCGGAGGGGGAGGCAGCAGCCACCCAGGAATCATGTCAGGCTGCAGAGCAACTAACATCTTTAGTTTTAGAATTTGCTCAGTTCAAGCTGGTGCTTTAAGCAAGATCGTAAAAATTAGTTAAGATCCTTTTCTCCCAACAAATTGCCAAAAACTTGGAGGCTTAAAACAACACAAATTTATATGTTTCAGTTCTAGAAGCCAGCAGTCTGAAATGAGCCTCCCTGGACTAAAATCCAAGTGTCAGCCGGTAGGCTCTGGGGAGAGACTCTGTTTCCTTGCCTTTCCAGCATCTTGAGTGTGCCTGCATTTCCCGGCTCGCGGGCCCAGCAATGTCTCTCTCACATCACATACCTCTAACATTGATTCCCATGCCTCCCTCTTCCACTCACAAGGACCCTTGTGATTATACTGGGCCCACCTGGATAATCCAGAATCTTCTCTATGTCTCAAGGTCAGCTGTTTAGCAATCTTCATCCTTCCTGGCCATATAACATATTTACAAGTCCTAGGGGTTTGGATGTGGGTATCTTTTGGGGGACATTATTCCGCTTAGCAGTTATATAGCAGGTGACTTGGTAAACAAAAAAAAACTTTTTTAAAATTTAAATTTTATTTTATTTTTCTTGAGTTGGGGTCTCACTCTTTCCCCCGCGTTGGAGTGGCATGATCACAGCTCTCTGAAGTCTCAACCTTCTGGGTTCAGGCAATCCTTCCACTTCAGCTGCCTGAGTAACTGAGACTAAGGCCATGCACCACCACAACTGGCTAATTTTTGTATTTTTTTGTAGAGATGAGGTCTTGCTATGTTGCCCAGTCTGGTCTCAAACACCTGGGCTCAGGCAATCCCCTCGCTTCGGTCTCTCAAATTGTTGGGATTATAGGCATAAGCCACTGCATCTGGCGTTTTTCTTTTTCTTTTTTAGAGATAGGGTCTTGCTATGTTGTCCAGGCTGGACTTGAACTCCTGGTCTCAGCTATTCTCCCATCTCAGCCTCGCAAGTAGCTGAGACAACAGGTGCATACCACCTCGTTGTCTCAAAAACTTCTTTTTGTGAAGAAAAGTTGTGATGGGAAGTACTTCCCAAAGTACACAGACGTGTTGAAACAAAGCCTTTGATATTTGGCTGAGCAGAAAGGCAAGAAAGACTAAGGATAAAGGATTTGGTTCAAAGAGAGAGAGCTCATGTGACAGCCGTGTCCCAATGGGGGCTCTTTAACATGCCGTGATCAGTCACAGTTTTCAGATTTAAGCATTAGCAAATGAGTCAGAGACTTCTGTCTTGTGTCTGGTTCTTCTGCCTCTCCTGTCTGAGTGCTTTCCACATGAATGAGTAATTAAAATCTCTTGTTTCCAGTTTTACTGAACTTTGGAATTACTCTCCTATCAAAATTTTTTTTCTCTAGCTTTTTAGGTGAAGGGAAGAAAATGAACTGTGAAGGTCAGTGCATCCTTTTCAGTCACCTTTGCAATGACAGAGTGACAACAGCTGCTGCTTTTTAGCCTGATTTTTGCACGAGGAGGAACTGGACACTAGATTCAGGCAAAGGGGTTTTCTTCTTGGAGTGCTGGTTGCAAACATTTTTTTGGATGTGATTCTTCTCTTGGAGTTACTGGCCCCATTTGAAATTAGAAAAAGGATGGGCTGGGCGCAGAGGCTGATGCCTGTAATCCCAACACTTCGAGAGGCCAAGGCAGGAGGATTGCTTGAGACCAGGAGTTCAAGAGCAGCCTGGCAAAATAGCAAGACCTCGTCTCTACAAAAAAAAATCAAGAAGGTAGCCAGGCATGGTGGTATGCACCTGTTGTCCCAGCTACTCAGGAGGCTGAGGTAGAAGAATTGCCTGAGCCCAGGCAGTCGAGGATGTGGTGAGCCATGATCATGCCCCTGCACTCAAGACTGGGTGATAGAGACCCTGACTCAAAAAAAAAAAAAAAATTAGGAAGAGGAGTAGATGTAGAAAAATGTGGATGATCACACTATTTAAGGCTTGGTTTTGGTTTTAGAGTACTTTCTCTGAATTATTAGCACAGAAGGAGAGCAAGATATGAACACTTTAAATTGTTGTTTTTGGCCAGGCTCAGTGGCTCAGCCTGTAATCCCAGCACTTTGGGAGGCTGAGGCAAGTGGATTGCCTGAGCCTGCAGGTTCGAGACCAACCCTGACAACTTGGCTAGACCTTATCTCTA